TACTCGACACCATAGGGGCTGCGCAGGGGGTGGTCCCCGAGCGCGGCCGCTATGCACGACGGTCATCCATGGCATAGCAGGCGTGGCACTTTCTCGACACCATTGGGGGTGCGCAGGGGGTGGTCCCTCAGCGCGGCCGCTATGCACGACGGTCGTCCAGTGCATAGCGGGCGTGGCATGTTCTTGACACCATAGGGGATGCGCAGGGGGTGGCAACGGCCACCAACATCATTCTCACATGCTTCACTTCAGCTATCACCACTCCAGACATCATATAAGGGTGTGGGGTTCCTCGGTAGCGTAATTTGAACACTCGATGTTGAGATCTTTGCGGAACTGGAGGTTTTTGAAGAATTTCGGCACGCTCGCGACGACGCGCGCGCGTGCGCGTCGTCCAAGTGTTTAATTGTTTGCAAGGGATTATTGAACTGATGATTTTTGATAAACGAGTGTGCGCGCATTTTTGTTTTGCAGAGGATGACGGGGGCGTCGATGCCGGCCTGCTGGGGGTGGTCTGTGTGCGTGTTTGGGATGGGCGATGGGGCAGAATCGCGTTTAATTTGCGCATTTCCAGGGGGGGCCGATGAGTCCAGCCCCCGCCCGCAGTTTGGTTTGCAAAACCCATGCGGCGGAGATTGCGATGTGCTTGGCGCTGGCGGGTGCATCTCTGCGGCCGCGCCAACCCGCGCGCGCGAGCGCGTGGCGGCCGGCTAGTTTTGCGCGACCGACGCGGCCGCGGTGGCGATGACCGCTGGGCACATCCCAGCGGGCACATCAGTGCGAGTCGGCGGCTTGAGCGGGCGCGGCATCATTGTGGCGTCGGCGGCTGTAGACGGGATGATGATAGTGGCGGCGCTGGCGGCGATGATGACAGCGGCGACGGCGCGGCCAATCGCGGCGCCGATGCCGATCGCGCCGGCGACGATGACGGCGCCCTCGCGTCGGCGATGAAGTTTCTGGAGGGAGTTCGACGTGCGCGCGACCGACGCGCGGGATTGACCCGCTTGTTAGTTTTCGAAACGGACCGCGCCCCCCCCGCGCGCGCGAGTGTGTCCGCGTGATTTTGGCATGTGGCGCGAGAGGCCCGTCTGGCAGAATTCCATGAACATGTTCAAACACTCGTGGTTGTCTGCGACCTGCTGATGTGAAACCGCTTATATAAAGTATTATAACAAATCGTTTTTTTCCCAACCATCCTGTGGTGTTGGGTCCTCGTTTTGAAGAGACAGCGCCCCGCGTTCACTCCTCCTCCCGCGGCCCCCTCCCTCCTGCCATCATCATCATCACCATCATCATCATCATCATCATCATCGTCATTATCACCATCATCATCGTCATCATCATTATGGGGCCACGAAACGTGTGCAACCGTTTCGGTATCACCACCTTCATCATCGTCATCGACATCATCGACGTCATCATCACCACCATCATCATCATCATCGCCATCATCACCCGTCACACGTTTCGCGGCCCCATAGGGATCTCCACCGAAGGCCTCACTGCCACCGCCCGCATGCGTCAGCCACACCCACTTCGGCACACCCCTCACACGTTTCGTGGCCCCATAGGGAGCTCCACCGAAGGCCCCAGTGGCTGCGCTCCCATGCGCCCACCGCACCCATTTCGGCACACCCCTCACACGTTTCGTGGCCCCATAGGGAGCTCCAGCGAAGGCCCCAGTGGCTGCGCTCCCATGCGCCCACCGCACCCATTTCGGCACACCCCTCACACGTTTCGTGGCCCCATAGGGACTCCAGCGAAGGCCCCAGTGGCTGCGCTCCCATGCGCCCACCGCACCCATTTCGGCACACCCCTCACACGTTTCGTGGCCCCATAGGGAGCTCCAGCGAAGGCCCCAGTGGCTGCGCTCCCATGCGCCCACCGCACAGATTTCGGCACACCCCTCACACGTTTCGTGGCCCCATAGGGAGCGCCATCGAAGAAGATACTCACAATTGCGGTACTCGCAACTGCATCTGGTTGGGTCCTTCGCCAGGATAATTTGTCCTTCCTCTTTAAAATTTTCGGGGCGCTCGTTTTTCTCATTCGTGTGGGGCCTGAAAGGTTCCTGGCGGATTGCGGCGAGCGCGCGACGACGCGCGCGCGTCGCCCTATTTTGGCAAGGGGTTCTCGCGATGGCGCGGGCGCGAGGGCGTTCGGGCGAGATCGACTCGCGCGCGAAACACGCTGCATTTCATGAAAGGGTTGAACACCTATGCTTTGCCTCAGGATTTGCGAGGGGGCGCGCGCGCGAGCTTTTTCTGGACGTCCGCGTTGCGTATATATATATATATATATATATGTGTATGTATATATATATATTATATATATATATATATAATATATATCATGCATGTATAAATCACATAATTACAACGCGTGCTATCCATCCATCCATCCATCCATCCATACATACATACATACAAACGTACATACATACATACATATATATGTATGCATGTACGTATGTATGTAGGTATGTATGCATATATACATG